GACCTGGGGGTACTGGTTGACAGCCGGCTGAATATGAGCCAGCAGTGTGCCCAGGTGGCCAGGAAGGCCAATGGCATCCTGGCCTGTATCAGGAATAGTGTGACCAGCAGGACAAGGGAAGTCATCGTGCCCCTGTACTCGGTGCTGGTGAGGCCGCACCTCGAATACTGTGTTCAGTTTTGGGCCCCTCACTACAAGAAGGATGTTGCATTGCTGGAGCATGTCCAGAGGAGAGCAACCAAGCTGGTGAGGGGTCTGGAGCACAAGTCATACGAGGAACGGCTGAGGGAACTGGGGTTGTTTAGTCTGGAGAAGAGGAGGCTGAGGGGAGACCTGATCGCCCTCTACAGCTACCTGAAAGGAGGCTGTAGTGAGGAGGGGGTCGGCCTCTTCTCCCTGGTAACAGATGATAGGACGAGGGGGAATGGTTTGAAGCTGCGCCAGGGCAGGTTTAGGTTAGATATTAGGAAAAACTTCTTCACTGAAAGGGTTGTCAGGCTCTGGAATGGGCTGCCCAGGGAGGTGGTAGAGTCCCCATCCTTGGAGGTATTAAAAAAAGAAGGATAGATGAGGTGCTTAGGGCCATGGTTTAGTGGTGGGATGGCAGGGCTAGGTTAAAGGTTGGACTCAATGATCTTAAAGGTCTTTTCCAACCAAAGCGATTCTATGATTCTATTCTATGATTCTATGACATTTTCATCAAGCACCAAATGTCTCTTCAAGGTAAAACACGTCTTTTAGAGGCGGTCTTGACTTGAGGTTTCAAGCAGTGGGTAGCCCACCCTATCCCTGGCTGGGTTATTTTAACAGGTAATAAGGTTGTAGGCAGATATTCACATCTTGAGCAAGGGGAGATGTTGAGGATGCCACTGCCTCCTGCCACTTCCTCACTGGCACGGCCCCACCCAGTCATCTTGTTCCCTTGAGTGTCCCTTAATCAGCTTTGGGCAAAACCTGCCAGGTTCTGGTTAAATGAGTGGGACTGGCTCAGCTGACTTCTGCCTGAAGCACGCAGAGTGGTGCTCCACCAAACGTGGGGTAGATGTTTCTGGTTAATGGGTGGTGGTAAAGACGAAGGAGTAGCAAGTTTAGCTGGTACAGCTGCTTGCCGTATTGATCTCTGTTGGCAGTTTGAGAGTGGAGTTCCTGACTAGCCTTTATTTTCCAACCTGCCCTTTGCTTCAGCTGCTCTTAATGCTTGCGGAGATTTGGGATTAATGGAACCTGCAGGAGTTGCAAGCCCAGACCAGGACAGGCTGGTCAGGATGCTGCAGCTGTGCTCTTATGATGGGCTAACATCAGAGCATCTTCCTCACTCAGGCATGGCCTCATGCATTTTTAACCACTGCCTGCTTCTCCTTGGCCACAGGAGCAGCTTTGGGAAAGCTGCTGAAGAGGCTTATTTCAGGGAGAAGTTGCTCTTGTTTGAATGATCTCAAAACTTGTGCTGCAAAATGTGTAAAATAGCGTAAGCGCTGCGTGTGCCCAGGTAACGCAGGTTTCTGTGATGGGTTTCAGTGAGCGGGGTGACGTGTGGAGGTGATGCTGCGGGGTGAGCTGCATGTTTGCTAGATGGGGTTTTGACCTGCAGCGCAGAACTGGTGGCTGTATAAATAGGGAACAAATATGGCAGCAGAGAAGGGAATGCAACGTATTTTGGTCTGTGGGGACAAAAAGTGAAGCCTGGCCAGCTGCCTTTGCATCGTTTGAGCTACTTCTGAGGAGAGATGAGATCTGTTTGCACCAAAGCTGCTCTTTTCCCTTTCCCGTGGGCAGGAAGAATCATTTGTCACATTCTGTTTCTCTCTTTTTTTTTCATGTGAAAGTAGCAAACCCAAGTCTCCAGAGAACCTTGTACAACCATTTCTTAATTCATTGTGTTTCCTATTACGCGGCTGTGAAAAGCAAATCCTGCGTCTCTCACCACGGGGCCTTGCAAAGCCCAGGCGAAGATAAGGGCAGTGCCTCGGTGTGTGTGTGTGGTCATTTCCAAACCACAGTAGAAGCATCAGAATGGTTTGGGATGCATAATTAATGGCTCGCATGTGTCAGGAATTCCTTGCCCATGATTGATTGTGCTGGGGCTGTACATGGATATTATCTGTGTTTATCCAGGCTGATAGCCACAGGAACTTTTGTAGGTCAGAGACTTCCAGAGCACGTAGTAGGGGGCAGGGGCCTGACCTCTCTTTGTGCACGCGTGTTAGAACGATGCTGCGAAACGCAACGGAAGTGGGTGCTGAAGTAATAACAGGTTATAGATACTGTGTGAAGTTACAGAAATCAACCATGATGTATTGCTGATTGTATTTGTCTTCCTCCCTCTCCTCAGGTATTTCCCAGCCAAGATCCACTGGACAGAGCAGATTTCAATGCTGTGGAGTATATTAATACTCTCTTTCCCACTGAGCAAGTAAGTGGTGCTTGCAGTATGCTTGGTACGAGGGGTAAGCTGATAGTAAGTGACTGAAGGAGTGTTTAAACCTTCACCCAAGCCTTTTCTTTTAAACAGTAGCACAGGTAGTAAGACTATAACTTCTTAAATTCGCATCTCGTGCAGCTCACTGTCTTACCGTAGTTTCTTTCCACCCAAAGTGCTCACTGCAGTAAAAGTCCTGCTTTGAACTGTAGAAATAAATTAGTTTTCTATATAGAGGTTTCTCACGCAGTAAATTTCATAACTTGCCATCTATTAATTGTTGGTAAATCCTCAGGGGTTTCAGCCAAGTAAGGCAGGTGTTGCCTGTGAAATGTCACTAGAGAGTCATGTTTGAAACTTGTTGTTTCTTTTGAGACTTAAAGGATGAGATTGCTGTGGGCTCATATCTGTACTTTGTCTTCCCCAAATCAGCCCCAGGGGCAGTTTTGGACTAAGCTATTGCAAAAGGGAGGTGTTTCTGCAGCTGAAGATTGGGTTGTGAGGCAGCTCCAACATTTACTGTGTTTAAGATCCTCTGCAGCACTGGCTTTTTTGGCTTTTGGCTGTTCCTCGTTAGTTTGCTGGTGGTGCTGGCTTGGCTTTTTCCCTTTGCCTCTAGTGGAGAGCTATTTCCCCTGCGATACCCCCACTACAGCGCCGGCAGCAGCCAGGCCTCCTCCACCCCATGTGCTGGGTGCCTGGGCTCTGCAGGAGGGTCTCTGCCCAGGGGAGGCCAAGGCTCTGTCCCCATTGCCCACTGGAGGTCACTGTCACCACAGTGTTTCGGGATCAGTTCTACTGAGGAGGCAGGGCTCAGGGCGCCCTGCTTGTTCAGGGCTGGGTGGGAAGAGGGGAGCCTCTGGGACCTGCTGAGCTGCACCCTGGCCTGCCCCATCTCTTGCTGCTCTTCATTATGTGACCTAAGGAGCAGCTAAGCTGCTGTGTGCCTAAGTTCCTCCATCTGCAAAACAAAGGCATTGCTCTCCTCTTTGTAAAGTGCCACGTGTGAGCAAGCATTAGGTGTCACAGCTGATGTGTATTGCAGTAAAAGGCTCCCCATTTCACTTCTCTTTTGGTTTTTTTTTTTTCATGTTGTAGTCTTTGGCAAACATCGATGAAGTTGTGAACAAAATCAGATTGAAAATAAGGTAAATGTTTCTCCATTTCATTGCGTCTCGGGTGGTGAGTAGTCTGGTTGTCACCGAGGCTTCATAAATATAGCCTTTGCACTACAGCTGATAGGAATTAATTTGCTTAAAAGGCTTGTATAGGGTCAGTCTCGAGCCCAATAGTGGGACAGAGACAAAAATTACTCCCTGTATTTATAATTCTTCTTTATACTTTGCCCCTATTGTACAGTACTGTCTTTCAGGTTATTTTAGCTGATGGGTTGCAAAGTAGAGCTTTGAAAAAACAGTGAATCAGTAAGTACCAAATTTTAGTATGGTCTGAAGGCTGAGAGAACAAACTACCCAGAACATTCAGTTGCTGAAGATTTATTCTGTTTGTGAGATCAAAATAGCAATTGTAAAACCTCTCATTTCTTACTTTTTTAAATTGTCATTATTGGTACTAAGAGTACAAAATAAATAGAAGCGTGCAGTAAATGCTTAAACTTTCTGTGCAGACTGGCATTACCAACCTGAAATGATTGAGACAGCACTTTAATATGTGGAAAGTGGAAGTGAAAACGGACAAGGGAAAACTGACAGTATTGCTTCAGGGAAGAGAAATGCAAGAAGCCCTGATTAAATTAGGAAATGGATTTTTATTTTGTGCCAGGAGTTTTAAATTATGTAAGATAGTGATGTCTTGTGGGAGGGAAAGCGAGTTTAGCATTGGTAGCACCAGCTTTTTTTTTTTTTTTTTTTTTTTTTTTTTAAAATCTGTTCTGTAGCTCTCAAGGTTCCCACAATCGTTTGGGTCAGGCACACAGAGAATGAGTTTGACATTATAGATTCTTTTCTGCAGGAGGTTGGATGACAACATTCGAACTGTAGTGAGGGGACAGACCAACGTGGGACAGGATGGCAGGCAGGTACGTGCATCTCATCTCTGGTAATGCCAAGGGTTCTCACCTTGCGATGCTAAATTGAGGAATGGCTCTGGCAGACAGAAACCTGCTCTTGTTGTTAGGGAGGTGTTTCTGCTGTCCCTTACGCTAATGACGGCGCGAGCTGCTCACTGCTCACAGCCTGCTTTCTGATCACCCTCCAAAGGGAATTGAATGGGAAATTGATTTAAAAATCAAAAGCAAAACCAGGAGGTTTGCAGTCATGCTGCTCTGAAGCTAATGATAAAATGAACAGGATTAAATCAGTACAAGCACATTTGCTACTGAGTAAGGATCAATAAAAGGATATTTAGCCTTTTAACTAGGTTGTTTGCTGAAGCATCCTGAGTTGCTAGTGACTAAGCCTGATGACTGGCTGCCAGTTCATCTTGCTTGTCTTATTCAGCCATCAGGTTTTCACTTGTCTTTTGCTTGACAGATGTGTTTGCTCAGAGTATGGTATTGAACAGCACGGCCATGGCTGCAGTGTTTGTGAACGCTTGAGCTTGGTCCACGTGTTATCTCGTTTTGAGGTGCACCCAGTGCTGCTGTATTTCCTGTGTCTGTTCTGGTTTAGACCAGGAACATTAACGTCTTGACTCGTCCATCATACTGCTTTCCTCATTGTCAACATTGACTCACCTTTTTAATACCAGATTTAAGACTAGGTTGCTGGGATGGGAGAGTCATCCCCTCACCAGCATGGCTGACTCTATTTTCCACTTCTTGCCATTGGTGTATCTTTCTAATCCTACCTCTGCCAGAGAGTCCATGGCCCTGAGTGAATTATTTAACTTCTCCATGCCTTCGTATTGCTTTCAAAAAATGTGAGATGCTTATGTCTCCAAGAAGAACTAGTGTTTGCATGGTTCCCTGAGTACTGCTATTAAACTGGGGATGTGCTTGGGATGTGGCATACGTAGGAGTGGTGCTGCCTGTAATCACTCTGCAGGGACGAGACAAGAAATCAACTGGGGAGTCAAGTACAGAAATTGAGGAGGGAGTGGAAACTAGTGCAGTACTTGGAGAGTTTGGGTATGATTGGAAAGCTGATGCTTTGTAGCCTTTTGGGCCCATTCGGGGTGACAAATTTAGAGATGACCACAAAAAAGTGGGATCAAGAAGAACTGTGGCTGAGAACTGCCCGAAGTGCCTCAGGACTTGCAGGTCCCAAGGATGAACATGGCGAGAGACGAACAAAAGCAGTGCTGTGGCCAGCTGTGCTTGCAGGATAACAAAAGTGGCACTGTGCTATGGAGATTCGGCAAACTTTGTTTAGAACTTTGCCTTATGTCTGTGCTTTCTCACTCCTTAATCCCTTTGAAGTTTTCCAAAGCATGTACAGATGGACTTGGACAGTATCCTGCTCTGAACTACTGGGAAGGCAGGTCTGTGGGTGCAGCCCTTCATTTAGTTTGGTTGCAAAGGAACCAATTATATTTCTGTCCAAGTAAAAACCTTCAAACATGCATGTGTATGTGGCGTGTCTGTGCAGGGCATCTTTCAAGTGACCTGGAGCTGCAGCTAATCACAAATATTCCTGTATTTAGCTGTGAATTTTCCCATTTTCCGTCACTTTGCTGCTTTGCAAGATAGAAGCAGACTTTAAGAGAGATGCCAGAGCTTGCAGTTGCACAGGCTGCATGGGCTAAGGCCAGACAGTCTCCCAGAAGCCTAACAGTCGTTTCTTCCTTTTAAGAGGTTGTAACAAATACTGAAACCATTCAATTATGGAAAGTGATAGTTCTCTGGTAAGAAAAATTGTTTGAATCTGAAATGCTCTGAGCTTTTTCTTTCTGTCTTTCTAATCCAAGTCCACCATTTCACGCTTGTACGTGCATTTTGGATGTGAATTGCTGGAACCAGACTGTTAAGAGTGGCAGGACCTGGCTGGGCCTCGAAGTTTAAAGCAGTAAAGGAGCGTCAGCAAGCTCAGGCCTTGCATGTCAGCGGGTTGGAGGGACCCGCAGCGAAAGAGGTCATCTTTGTTGAGGAATGCTTGAATTGCATTTCAGTTTGAGATGGAATTTTATATTTGTCTCCCCAGAATCAGACAGAGGAAAGCTAGAATAAACATTTACTGTTCCTGTCACCCCCTGCATTACTTTCTCTGGGTAGTTTATCCTGTGTGTTAGTGAGGCAGCCTTTTTCACATGACCACCCTGTTGATATCTGATTGTGGGGGCAAAAACCTTGCTTTTCAGCTTCAGCCCCCTGCTCCGGTGCTGAAAAGTGCCTTTGTTTTACCAGCATATTCTCAGTGGAATCAAGGACACTTAGAAATGTTCAGTTTTTATAGAGCAATAGGTTTGGCTTCTCCCGCTTGGAGAGGAAGGGTTTCGTTCTCCAATGTATAGTAAGAAATTGTTTTAAAACAACTGAAAGCCAGTGCCTTTGAGACAAGTCAGCACTCTGCTACGAAGGGAATCAGTGCTGCTGAAAGATGCTTTTTTCCTCATTTACCTTTTCTGGTAGTAGTTTGTAGTTTGGTCCCATAATAAAATCAGTTTCTTCTACTGATCTTCTATTCTTATTAAATTTGTAGGAAATTTGTATCCTCAAGACCAGTATTTCCCTGCAAAATTTGATAGAAGGATATACCTGGATAGATAGTGTCACCCTGTGAAGCCCAGTCTGAAGATTGTTACTGCATTTTGTAGTATTAACCACAACTGCAAACTGCCCTTGATTAATAAAGAAACAGTTGGCAACCAGCTTTTGCAATAGGTTTGAAACAAAGCTTAAAACCAGCCACAGTGAACAGTTTAATCTTCAGATGCCTTTTCCTATTTATAGCTTTCTTAACATATGAGATGTCTATAGCCTGTAACATGCAGTACTTGCAGCAGACTAGCTTTTGACAAAGCCATTCCTGTCTTTTGAGATATTTCCATCCCTCGACACACTGAAAAGAACGATGCAATCCATCCTGTCCTTGAAAGTGCGTGCTGTAAATAAAAATGCATATGAACTCTGATGTTCCAACTGCTTGAATTTCAGTGGGAACTCAGGATCTTGTGTATTTATTTCAAGTTTGGGCCGGGAAGGTGTTTTGCAAAAGCCTCTTTTCTTTGGTGTCATTCTCTCCTAACAACTCACCATGCAATCTGTAATCAGCATTTGCCAGAATGGCCTGACTATGTGCTATTGGAGCTAGAGGAGCCATTCTTGTCTGGAGAGTAAATAATGGTTTTCATAAACATCCTTTCAATCTTTGACTTCCTTCCAAAGGAAACATAAACCTCAGATGCAGTGGTAGAAGGAAAAAAAAGTTCTTAAGTCCAAACAAGCCAGGAGGGGTTTCCCTGCTGAGCCCCCGCTCGCAGGGTTAGCCGTGCCCTGCCTGCCTCGGGCTTGCGTGGGGAGGCAGAGCTGTGCACGTGAGTGGTTGCCATCCCTGCTGCCCTCTCAGGCGAGGGAGCACCGTGTGCCGTGGGTGCAGAAGCTGATTCAGGAAGCTCATCTTTTGGCTTTTCCATCTCCCGACAGCCTTAACTGCCAAACAGGGGGGTGGGAATCTCCTGTAGGCTGTTGGTTCAAGTGCTGCACAAATCACTGGGACCTGCCATCAACCTATCTAATCTCTTTTTTTGGTAGCATGTTTGAAACCCGGTGGCACCAGGCAGGTTCCTAGAAGCCAAACTGAGTGATATTTAGCCTTTTACAGCTTGCTTTCTCTTTGGGGAAGGGGTCATTTAGCAACTGAGCCCAGCAAAGCAGCTTTCCCTCTTGTGTGGAGGAGCAGTGCTTTGCTGAGCCTTGTTGCAAGCTGCACCTTTGCAGCCGTCCAGGAGAGGGGAGCCCAGCCTTGGTTTTGAGACCAGGGTAACGTTTTCATGATCATTGATGGTGAGGGAGTGCTGCCAGCGGGAACGTGTCTGAATAGTGCTGCATGTTATTCTCCCAGTTAAGAGCAATCTAAACCCCAGTCAGATCCAGTGGGGAATATGCAGTGTGCAGTTATGGGAATGTGCTCTCCCCGCTCCTTAAGGAAAGGGAGACCTTAGGGATAGCAAGTTCAAAATCCTAATTGCAGATCCAGCCACGGTACTCGCTGTGATCGAGTCTCCTGTCCCGTCTGGCTGGTAATGTGGCAGTGGTAATGATGGGGCTGACACTTCTGTGCTCCACCTGGGTGCTGAGATGATTGAGCACGTCTTTGAGGCGAATTGTAGGTATGAGAAGGATGTAAGAGTAGCTTTTTATAGTCAGTCTTTAACTTTTAAACTGTTTCCCAAATAGCCTTGATCACATGCACATGTTCATATAAAATAGTACTTAGGTGTCTGAAAAAGCAGATTCTAAATCTAAAAATAAAGTTGATCAAATAGATGTGGCCCCAAAAGAGTTATTTAAGCAGCTCTAAAGACAGGAATGCTCCCTTCTCCACAAAGTGTAACGTTTCCCAGTTCAAAGCATCTGCCTTTTTGAAATTTTGCCCTAGAATTTCCTCCAAATGCAAAAGCCTTAAAATAGTCTGGCTCATTTGGCTTCCCCTTCCTGGTGCAATATTTCAGTAAAATCTGTAGACAATACCATGAACTGCAGAAATTATCTCACTAATGATCCTTTTATGGGAGGAAACAACAGTCGCGGGTGGAACATTCCTCTGCAGGGCGTAACAAAATTTTCCTTGGGAGTCCCAGACTTGGGCTATTTCGGATGCCTTGGGAGAGGCTGGGAATGCAGGAGCTGCTGTGGTTCAGTTGTAACAAAATGCAGTTCAAGCTGCGCCTGCGCTTTCTGGGGAGCCAGTGCTGTCTGATTTTTCCTCTGTAAGGTTTTTCTCAGAGCTGCTGCTGAACTGGAGTCTGGGCTGACCTTGCTAAGAGCTGCAGTTCAGTTGTGGCATAATTTCCTCTCTGCCCTAGGGTACAGTATAAAAAGTTCCCATAGATTTTTCCACTGAGCGTTTAACACACTCCGTACGTTTTTATTTGTCACTCTTCAGTTGTGTTTACTGCTAAACCTTCTGCGTGGACTGGCTGTAATTTTTTTGACAGTTGCTGACATGCCTTTACTTGTTGTTTGGCTGAAGCTGCTTCACCTATCAGGCTTTTGTCCTTGTGATAACGTAGCCTCTGCGTTTGCAGTCTAGTTTAACCCTTGACAGTGTCTGTGCAACCAGGACGTGGGTGCCTGCGTCGGTAAAGGTGAGGCAGCTTTGTACAAAATCGATTTCCGAAGGAATCAAGAATTCAAGAGGAAGCCCAAGAGTTGTGGCTTTATAATTTGAATCTTAAAAAAAAAAAAAAAAAAATATTTTTCTGCTATCTCTGGTCCATCTTTCCCTTCCCACCCTGTGCACACACGTGCATAAAGTGAATGACTGAAATTGAATCAGTACAGACTGTGTTTTAAAGAAAAGATTGATTTATCGCTTAGGATCTCATACTATATTAGGGTCTGGCTCAATTAGTGCTACAACAAAGTTAAGTGTTAACAAGAAGAGAAGAGGGATGTTTTCTGGGCTGGGAAAAGCCTTGCATGTTTCTCATGGCTGAAGATACTGGTTGATAACTTGGATTGCTTTGGTTGGCTCCTGCTTCTTTGCTCCGTGAGAACAGTAATGTATTTTTTTTTTTCATAACTGCAGCAGTGCAAGAAAAGAGATGGCAGCTGCTGTGGTTAAAGAATACAAATATATTCTTGCTGCCCAGCCTGAACCCAGCACAGCAGTAGACAGTTCAATTAGCCATCCCATCCTTTGGTAACCAGTGCTGTCTTTTCTCCTTGCATGTAAAAATAAACATCTCGGCTCTGCAGCTGTGGGGACGCTCAGACTCCCTGCCCTGCCCTGCCCTGTGTGTGTGCTGCAGTCTCTGGCATCATTTAAGCTTGTGGAAGGAGGAGGATGTGTCTGGCGTAGAAAAATGCCCACAGGTTATTGGGTTTGACAAGGTCATAGATGGAAGTATGTGAAATATTTTTTTTTTTCTTCTTTAAATAGAGATCAGGAAACCCTTTGCAGAATCAATATAGGGAGGAAGAAAGAGATGAAGATGGACAGTGAGCAGAAGAGAGTGATGCAGGTGCCGCATGTGGCGGAGGGGAGTATGGTAGTCCCCTGCTGATGGGGTCATCCCAGCTACTGGCTCCCTTACAAAGGGGTGTCCTGAGCCACCGGGCAGCTGGCGGATGGTGGCACTGGAGTCAGCAGCCTGTCCCTTCCTCAGCTCTGCGAGTGCTGGGTTACAGGCAGGGTCAGCCTGGCTGGTGATATTGTGCACTGTTTGCATAAGCGTGCTTAATAAGCAGCTCTGTTGCTTCAGCCTCTCCTCTTACCTCTGCCTGTTTGTGTGGAGGTGGCTTTTTTGACTGCAGGTTATATTTCACGCTGAGCTAAGGTAGCTGGTGCTTTCACATCTCCTACCGTAGGCACTTTTCTTTCTTTTTTTTTTTTTTTTTTTTTTTTTAATCTATTTAAATATATGCTCACTTCCAGACATCAAATTGCACGCTGCTTCCTTGGCTGCAGTGCCCAGGTTTGGCTCACGTGGTTGATGTGCCTCTGCTGCTGGGACAGCACTGCCTGCCTTTGCCTGAGCCTTAAGAGCAGATGAGGAAAATCACCGTAAGCTCTTAATAACTAATTAAGCCTAAGTCTATAAAATATTTAGGGGCTTTTTTGTGTCACAGTCCCTGACGTTGTAGGCATCATCTTTCAATTATATTCATTCTCTCCTGCATGGCTAAGCTTTATTTCCTGTTTTTTTAATGAATGGGTCATTATTCTGAAATATGAACAGACTAGTGTTAGATTTCAGTACGTTTTAAGATGGTGAATGGACGAGGGTTAAATATTGTCTCCTAAGCTGTGTAATTTTATATATTTAAAAAAAAAAAGGTCATGCCACAGATTCTGTAAGACTCCAGTCGCGTGATTAAAGTCCCATAATATTCTTTTGTAACCGATGAATAATAAACAGAAGTTGAGCTGCCAACATAAATCAAAAGTGAGTTACATTTAGAGTCATTTCCCTAGTGAATTATGACAGTTGGACAATGTCCTTCCCATCTAGGAGACACAGTGAGCTTTTTCTAGCCTAGAACATGTTTATTGAAAAGGTTTCAGGTGAATGGCACGGCAAGAAGAAATAGTGCTGTTTATTATCCTTCTGGCTGCCGGCCATGAAAACTGGCATCTGCAACTGTATGAAGAGGTCAGGCATAACTTTTGCCATCTGCTGCAAAGCCTGGTTCAAGGCAGAAGCGAGTCTGAGCTTGACCTTGCCTTGCGCTTCTGTATGGAAAGGCGGTGGGTGCACCCTGTTGCCAACCTGCAGCCCGAGGCTGGAAACGAGGTCGCATTTTGTGCTGGCAGAAGTCAACGCTTTCTTGCTGGTGGCGTTGAAGGCAGTGCAAGTTGCAAAATAAGACTGGGCTGTTCCACAGCCAGTGCTGTTTGGTTTTGATGCCAGCAAAGTGAGAAGCCCAGCCTGAAAATAGAAATCCTGACAACAGGCAGGAGATCTCATCTTGCTGTGGATTTTTTTTTTTTCCTTTCTTTCTCTCTCTTTTTTTTTTTTTTTTTGTTCTCTCACATTTTTGCTGTGTAGTAATGTTTATTCCAGCTGTGTTGCTTCCGGGCTTACGGCAGGTGAATTTTCAGTGTTTCCACTTAGAAATCCCTACTTGTAGGGTTCATGGTGTGATTGTCCATTCCTGTATTTTGCCTCGAAGGTCTCAAGCATCACAAATTCATCCTGCAAAATCTGATGCAACTCAAGTGGTTGCTAAACTTACCCCCGTGTAAGTCAAGGGTGGCTCTGATATTGCAGATATGACCAAAATACTGCTTGCAGTATGCAAACTCGTCAGCAGAAAAATCAACTCGGTCATTTATGGACTTCCTAGGCAAATTTAGTGTGTGGCACTCCCAGCCAACAAACCCAGGCATCTGGGTGCTGGTGTGGAGGGTGAGCGAAGGAGCGGGTGAGCGTCACTGCCCCCAAGGGCAGTCGGTTTTTCGGCGCTGGAGGAGAGGCCCTGCACGCCGAGGTGTATCACGGGTGCAGGGAGGTGCAGTAAACAGAAATTATGGGAAGGGCAGGGACTCACAGCTTGGCTATTCTGAAATAAAGAAGGGCGATAGGGAAATAACAGGTGTCTGCATGGGGGAGTTTTTCCTGCATAATAATAGTGTTTAAGATGTTGAGCAGGGCTGGGCGCTGGGAAGGCTGTGGCCGTTCACCTGCTGACGTAGAGCCGGGTGGCGAAGCTGTAGTAACCCACCGTGAGGTCAGAGCGTGATGAAGCTAAAGGCTTTGCTAGGGAGTTGTGCAACTCGCAGCATTAACGTTTAATAGCCATGCCACCCTGGTGCAAATCAGATGCATGACTGTAAAAACTTGTGTAAAACTGCTCACTGGAGCAAGACCACTAAAATCACTGTAACTTATGGCACGTCACCTTTCTTCATGGTGCAGGCACCAGTGCGCAGGGCCGGGCGATGCAGTAAAACCCAGGAGCTCAGCAGGGTGTGGGACTGGCACAGGAGTGCGGTTTGGGAGTTAAGCTGCAAGGGTTCAACCAGCAAACCTGGACAGGACAAGGGGCAATGGGCACAAACTGAACCATAAGAGGTCTCAGTTGAATATGAGGAAAAACTTCTTGACTTTGAGGGTGACAGAGCACTGGAACAGGCTGCCCAGGGGGGCTGTGGAGTCTCCTTCTCTGGAGATATTCAAAGCCCACCTGGACAAAGTCCTGTGTAACATGCTCTAGGAGAACCTGCTTTAGCAGGGGGGTTGGACTGGGTGATCTCCCGAGGTCCCTTCCAACCCTTGCCATTCTGTGATTCTGTGAAATCGCCTCTCGCTTCACCCTCTGTGTCTGTCAGTGTTTGTGCAGCCATTCAGAACATGAGGTTTGATTTCTAAGCGTGATTTGGGGGGGTTAAGTGAAGGGGCAATAGTAGCAATTTTAAGCTTGGTGCAGCTTTGGACATAATCTGCTTTGTTGATTTAAAGTGTCCTGTGCAGCCTTAGGGGTTAGGACTGGAGCTGATGATCGAAAACTCTATTCTTTAGTGACAATTGTAGTAGCTATGTAGTATTTGATGAACTCCTAGGGTAGAAATCGCTAAAATCAAACCCAAGCGTGAGTAGCCCTTCAGGTTTGTCTGCTCGGGGAAATCAGCTGGCACAGCCGCGGTGCAATGTCGCCCTGCTCCGACAGGCAAGCCCTCTCAGCTTCAGCTGCAGTGGTTTATCCCTAGCTGTAAAACCTAAGAGTTTTCTCTAAAATGGAATCAGACTGAGAATCAAAGCGTATTTCCACCCTTTCTCAATCTGGAGGGACTCATTTGTATGAGGTTTTAGCGGCAGAAATTGTTAGGCTGGTCACAGCGTGCAAGGGTTTCTTTGAAATCTCTGCAGCTGAGACTCCTTGGAGAATTGGGGATGGGAGCTTATTTTTAGTCATGGTCCAGCTTTTCATTGATCTGGGTTGTAAGTGTGGCAGCAAATGAAAGAAGCGTTAACGCTCTCTATTCAAGAGTGGGGACTGATCCAGGAGTATTAAATTCTCAGCATCCTGACCACAGCCCAATTTGTAACATTAAAAATACATTTGGATGCTGTGAATTTGGCAGATGTGTCGAGTGTCTATAAAATACTTAGGAGAAGGCAGCTTTCTGATGTGAGCAATAACATCCAGTTGAAATATATATCGGCTAGAATCAAATAAAACTAGCACATTTCTAGCACACCACCAGTGTGCATATGGAAACTATCGAGGTATTTTAACCATTACTGGGGACAGAACAGTGTTAGTTCAGTTAGTCCCCAAGCTCAGGGTTTCGCAAGCTCAGGGTTTCCCAAGCAAGCAAACTTCCTCTGAAAATTTGCTTTTTCCCCAGGTAAGCAATATTTTGTAGTAGCACACGGGCCTCCCTTAATTCCTGTTTTCCTATTTCCTAGTACTTCAGTGTTTTGCTTGCATGGGATTCCTGATAGGATGAATGAAGAGGTATTTGGAAATCAATGCACCCACTAACGAGACACGACTGCCTGGTGGGAGTGATGTGACCGGTCCCTGCCTAGGCTGGGAGGGGAAGGAGGGAGGCTCTGTCCGTCTGCCCCGGCTGTGGGGATTCAGAGAGACCGGCTGTAATTCACTGAATTGGGTTTTTGGCTTGAGTATTGCTGCTAGTCCTGTTCTTGTGTGCGTTAATGTCAAGCTGGTACTGTAAATCGCTGGAACATAATCTTTTACAGGATGCATCGCTTCAAAATCTAATGAATTAGATGTGGTCTTGTCCTGCCCGCTTTGGGTTATTTTCTTTCTTCCTTTTGCTGCTTGGAAGATCTCATGTAAAAAGGTGACACAAGTGATGATGTGCAGGCTGACCTTGGAAGCTGCTTGGGATAATGCCAAGTAAAGCTATTTTTTAGGCAGTCTTTTTCGTAGTGATTCATGTTTTAACTCTGTTCCCTTGTTTTATACTGGTGTGTTTGGACTCTTTTTCCTGTTGCATCGCAAGGTGAAGAAGGTTGATGAGCTGTAGCTGATTCATGTATTGCTTTTTTCTCTCCAGCTTTGGAGAATTTGATGAAAACCCGTGTAGCTCGCTGTCTGCCCAGCTTACCTGGGGTCTGCCTGTGCGCTACGGAGTTGGCTCTTCCAGCTCCTGCGTGTGGCTTCTCAGTCTCCTGCATTTCATCTCTGCTGTTAACGCAAGAACAGGGGAGCTTCCACTGCATAAATACAAGCTGGCTGAGAAAGGGCTAAAAACTCATCATGCTCCTAAACTGGAAGATCGCCCTGTGTGTTCTGCACCAAGAACTGTGTTTTGGGTCCCTGCTTCTGCGGGTGCTGGGGCTGTACCTCCCCTGGTGCTACTCATGGAGCCGGGCAGTGTCCCGCAGAGGTCCCCTTGCCGTCACCCCCTTGCCATTGCCCGCTTCCCTCCTGCAGCCGGGACGTGCTCCTGAACCCGCGCCGGGACGGAGGAGCAGACGCTTCACTGCAGGAGGAGGGAAGTGATACGTAGCCAAAGCCCGTCGTGCGTTGAGCGCTCTGTCTGGAGTCTCTCTGTTGCTGATCCTGCCCTCTTTGCTAAATTTACTGTTGTCAGAGCAGCTGGGGTACCCCGGGGGCAAACATTGAGGAAAAAGCCTCTAAGTAGCCGTGGCCGCTGCTCAGACACTGCTGACCGATGGCTCTGCCTCTCGGGCAGTTGAGCCCTATCCGTGCCGTATTTCTCAGCTGGTGCCTGATATTCAGGGATCTCGCAGGTTGCATAAAGTTTAATAAATAATGCTGATGGGTTAATTGTAGCTTGCAGGCTCAGCTGTTGATTAGAGTCATATGGTGTTTTTCCAGTACATCGCAACCTTAATTTCAACATCCTTGTTTCATATAACCGCAACAGATTATGTATCCGGTCTCTCTTTATTTGTGATCCTCTGCCCCTGCAATGAACTGCTGTTGTAGGAAAGGGAACACAATAACTTAACTTTTGTATGCTGGGGTGTGTGTGCCTACATTTACATGTTTCCCCATTGCACTGATGAGGAAACCACTAAATTAGTAATGCAAGGTGAACCCTGCGTCAAGCCACAGATGTGA